CCACGCCTCATCCACCTCGCCGTCCTCGGCCTCCTGTAGAAAACCAAGCAACTCCCCTGCTTCCGCGGCCGCCCCCTGCTCTGGGTCCGCATCTCCAAGCGGTGCATTGTCCACTGCCTGCAACTCGGAGACGAATCCTCCCCGCCCAATCTGATCCCCCCTCGCGGGCGGCCATGCGCCTCTGCCTCAACGTCCATGTTCGTCGCGACCTGCACGGTCCAGGGCGCCATGGACTCGGCAGCACTCGGCCGCGAATCGAAAGGATCCTGGCCGCTGTCAGCGCGCGCGCCCAATCGAATGTCCTCGATCGTAAACCACTTTCTAGCACGCCGCTGGCACTCGTCATACTGCAAGCTCCAAGTCGACTGCTCTGACTACCTCTCCTGCCAAGCGTCTACACGCCCCCCCCCCGCACCAACGCCAGCCCTGCGCGGCGCCCAACGAGCGGCCCCTCAACCCGAAGGTCGCAAAGGCCGAAACAAGACAGACTTGTACAGCGCGTTGACCTCTAGATCCTTCTCCTTCGAAGGCATCGCGAAGCCCGGCAACCTGGGCAACTCGAACGGCGCTACCACGCGAAGCTTCTGCACGCGGAAAGCGACCACGGGATGCGCGTCCGCAAACGTAAAAGTCACAAAGTCTTCCGCATGGAACGTCAAAGGATTACCATGCGCAGTGTAGATAAACATAGCACAATAATACATGCCCATGGACGCCAGCGGCCCCCTATCACTGCGATGGAGCCAATTCGTCCTGAGATCGTGCTCTGGAACGACCCGAAATGTCCGGCCGCTGGTCCCGCTGCGCCTCGCGGCCGCCCCCGCGGGAGGAATCCCCTCCAGCGCTGGATCCTTCGTGCGCTACCACCTCAAGAACCTCGGGCCGGAGCGAGCCGCGCCCCTCTTTCAGTTCGCCCATGACGCCGCCACCTCCGTCTCCGTCAGACTCCCCTCCCGCGACCGGCGGCTCCACCGCTATATATGCAGCACGCGAAGTGTGCCAAAAAACATCTTGACCCCTGAACGCCGCCTCGCTCGCCTCGTACGCAAGCGCCACGATCCCCTTGCAGGGCGCGGCCCAGGTGTCATCTGAGCGGTAGCACTCGGGGCCCAACATCATCTGGAATGTCATCTCCGGCAATTTCAAAAGAAACCGGCGCGAGCTAGTCGCGAGCTTGACGACGGCACGCCCGGCAGAATCACCGCGACGAACGACGTTAGCCCGCTGCCCCAGACCCGCACGCCTGGAACCCGCGCCTTCCACCTCGCCCTCCGCCTCACCTGCCCCCCGCGCCTCTCGATCTGCTCTCTCCCGGAGCCGAAGGAACTCCGGCCCCGTGCTCTGAGCTTGCCGCGCACCAAACTCTCCCGCGATGGGCCCGGCCTGCGTCGTGTATAATCCGTCTGATAGTGCGCCATGTTCACTGCGTCCATGAACAGAGCTTCAAGCGAGTGCAGCACATGCTCCCGCTGCGCCAAGACAATGCCCCCGCGGCGGCAGCTGCGGCGCTGCTCGACGAAGCCCCGGCGCAGGCAGCAGCAGGCGGCACCGGGGCCCCGCGTCGCGCATCGTCATATCCTGGAAGCAGCGGACCATCAGCGAAAGCAGCATCCCCACCATGACCCTCGCCCTGGTCATCGCGGCCTGGCCCCCGCAAATCCATTTCCGCATCGGGATCACCCATCGCCGTCCGCGTCCCACCCAACAGACACCCGACGGGCAGGCGCGCGCCTCGCGCAGCAACCGAGACTGCGGCCTCGTGGCCTGGCTCGGAAAGCCGATGCACTCTACCCACCACCCTCCGGCGGCGTCGCGTCTGAAGGCGCATGGTCCGCTGCCCCCATCGCCACCGCAGCCTGCGAAGGCGCTCCACTGCACCGCCCCCACCCCACCCGTCTCGCCGAGCGGGGCGCCATTCGAAAAAAACGCGACACGGTCGTCGGCGACAGGACCAAGCACCACGCAGTCCAGACACTTTTCTGATTCGCGGGTCGAGAGCGCACCTCTTCCGGTCGAAGCTAAGCGGGCCGCGCGAAGCTTGAATTAACCAGAGCTGGGGGAGAAAAGGGGGGAGCGCAGCCTCAGAACGAGGCCGGGAGGAGGCAAGGCCTCGGGATCAGGCGGTGCCGTAGACGGCGAACTTGCACAGGCACGCCTTTTCAATGACCCCGGTGGCAAAGTACCGGTACAAGCAAAATGCTGTGGTTGGTGATGCCGTCAACGGCTCATCGTTTACACCAGCCTCGAGCGGCGGCGAGAGGTGACGCTCCATGCAACCAAGCTGCGTCAGGGACCAGAGAGTGGAGAGCGACGCTGAGACGAAGTGCAACGTTGTGCTATCGAACAAGTAGCAGGAGCGAGTGCCCCAGGGCCGTGGTCGTCCAGGGTGCCACGGACCCAGGGTACAGGAGCCGCAGTGACTTGAGGCGCGGCAGTCAGGACACGCCAGGAACATGCCGCTTGTGACGACCGACAAGGCGCCGGTGCACTGGAGCAGGAAGTGGAACGGGCCCTGTCCTGCAGGGGCGAGCGCTCAGGACCGGGCCGAAGCCGCGCTGTGCCAGGGCGCTGCCGTTGTCCGCGGAGCCCAGGGCCGGGCCGGGGCCGCGCTGCGCCCAGGACCGCGGGGCCGCCGAGGCGGCAAGGTGAAACAAGACCAGCGCGCGCGAGCGCCGGGCACAGGGCCGAAGCCGCGCTGTGCCGGGCGCGGCCGCCATGGAAGCGGGAGGGGGGCTTGCGCGCGGGGAATGGGAGAAGCGGGCAGGGAGGAGAAAGGCCAGCCAGGCTGGCCAGCCAGCGCCGCGGAAACCCCGCGTTGTAAAAGGCGACGAACAGGTCGCACCCGAAGAAGAGCGCCAAGAGGCCTTGCCAGGGACAGGAGGGGCGGTCTGGGCAGGGCGCCCTAGGCCGCGAGATCAGTTAGGAGCGTTCGAGACAAGACAGCACCTGGGGCGCTGCATTATGGCCCAGTTGTCCGTGGACCCGGAGCTGCGTGATCGGCCACCCCCACGCCCCTCGCCTTTTGCAACCTCCCGCTTCCGCTGGAACTCCTGAAACAAAGCGTTCTCGCGGCCCCAGTCGATGTAGACGCCCACGTTCGAGGACCAGATCCCCACATCGTAGCGGCTGCGTGCCATGTCGTCCAGGAAGCGGTCGATCATGTTGGGCTGCCAACAGGATGGGTCGACCTTGACCGTGTCCATGCTCTCGCCCACGTGCCAACACCAGGAGTGCCAAGCTGCGGCGAAGCAGAAGCCTCCCTCGGCCTTCAGCCTTTTCAGGTGGGCGGTCGCCGTCTCGTCCGGGCGTCTCGGCCAGCTGACGCGGCGCTCTTCCCAGGGGCGGCTGCAGTGGTCAGGGCGGCGGCGATCATCTCTGTTGTGTTCAAGGTGGCGGCGATCGTCGTATCGGTGCGAGGAGCCCCCACCTCCGCTTCTGTCACGATCGCGGTCTCGGTCGCGGTCGCGCTCTCTGGCTCGCTCCCGGTCGCTGGTGTCCCTGGACGAGCGCCGCCCTGCCGTGCTCTCACATCGGCCCCAGAATCCCGGCTCGCCTCCCTTGCCGCGCCCGTGGCCGCATCCGTGCGGAGGACGGGGCTCGGGCGCGGTGCGCCCGGCCCCAGTTGTCACAGTCTGGCGGGGTGTGCGCGGGGCGCGGGCGTCGGCGTCGGCCACAGCTGGTGCGTCCTGCGCCGGAGTCTCGCCAGTGGAGCGGGCCTGGCGCTGCGTGTCAGCGCCGCGGTCAGGGCTGTTAATTGCGCCGAACCTCTCGGGGGCCCGTGACGATGTGGACCTGCCGATGGGCTCCGGGGTCTGGGGTGGACTGCGCCCGCGGCCTCTGCCAGCCTCTGAGCCTGTTCCTCGCCCTGGTCCTTGGAGCTGTAGTCAGGATCTCCTCCTGGGTGTCGCCGCCCGGCGGTAGCTCGTGCGCGGTGTCCTGTGCGACCGCCCGTGGAGCGCGGGATCGGGGCCGGGACGCGGACCTGGACTTGGGCTGCGCCTCTTCCGCGGGCGTCGCTTCGACCGTTTCAGGGTCGGCGCCGAGCCCGGACTGGACCGCTGCCGCCTGCGGCGCCTGCGCAGGGTCGGAGGCGCCCTCGAGGAAGTCGGCCGCGCGGCCCGCCGCATTGCCGCGGAGGATGCCGGTGCGCAGCGCATTGGTCCCAGCACACCAGATCTCGAGCCACTCGTACTTATTTGGACGACCAGGAAGCGGCGCACGCCCTCCGCGCGGAACTGGGCGTCGCGGATCGGGCCAAAGACCGCCCCGTCCAGGGGCTGCGGGAACAGGGGATCGTTGCTCGGCGCTTCTGCAAACCACCAGGCTCGGGCGTCGGTGAGGTCGCTCCGAATAACCACGTAGTCGCCGTTCTCGATGTCTGGATTGTCGGTCATGATCTGGCGAGCGGGGGCCCGGAGGGGTGTGCCCGTCGGTTGCGGTCGCGTCGCGCGCGCCCCAGGGCGGACTCAGGGGTTGCGACCGCAGCTGGCGGGGCCCCCGGGGACTTGGTCGCCGTGGGGCGCGCCCTGGGCGGGTGTGAGCCTAGTTCGCTATCACTCGGCGTAGGCGGCGGTGTCTCCGCCGCTGTCTGCGGGGCGGCTGCAGGGTCCTTGCGCTGCTCGGGGGCGCGCGTGGCGCAGAGAGGCTGCGCAGGCAAAATCCTGGGCTGGTAGTAGGTGAGCAGCCCCTTGCCCGGGGCTTTGACGTCGGCGGCCGCCACGAGTGCCTCCAGCACCGGTCCGAACCTCATCCGGTTGGCGCGGATGTGCTGCTCTCGGCGCGCTCCCAGATCGCCACCGCCATTGACTGCATCCGTCGTCAGGAAGCTGACCAAGTGCACGAGGGCGGCGCGGTCGTCGCCCCATTGTCCCTGCGGGAAGAAGGTGTCAGGGACGGACCCTCCGTAGACCAGGCTCAGGAACTCGTCGCAGGCCCCAGCGCCCCAACTGCTCGGGTCAGGCTCTGCGCCCGCGGGCGCCCCGTCTCGAGGCCTTCTGCACGGCCCCGTTGGTCCACTGCCGGTGGTGCTGAGCAGCCAGGGTGACGTAGTGCCGCATGACCTCGTGCTGCAGGCAGCCTGGGGCGACCGCGTCGCGTTCGGAAGCGAGCCCCGCGATGGGGCGGCACGTCAGCTCGGGGCCGCTCGGCGGGCCCACGGCCGGGAGCTTCAGGCTCTGGACGAGGGCCCTGGCGTTTTCAAGGTCGGCAGCGGCCTGCTTCGCGACGGGCTCGTGGAGCTGGCTGGGGACAGGGCGCCCGCCGGGGGCCACCGCCTCCCGTGCCAGGTAGGGGCAAGCCTCCACCGCCTGCTGGCCCAGCTGCACGACGTAGGCTAGTAGCTGCTGTCGGTGCGCCAGGGGCTGGTAGCGCTGGGCGAAGGCGTGGTCGGCGCAGCACTGCCCCCAGCTGCCCCTCATGCCGCCGTGGGCGACCAGCCACGCCACCACGCGCGCCAGGAAGTACTGCTCCGCGTTGAATGTCCAGTACGGCCAGTCAAACAGGGCGTCGTCGGGGACGACGCCCTGGGGCCAGATCGCGCGCAGGGCCGTTCGCAGGTAGTCGTCCGAGAGCAGCTGCGGGCTTATACCGTGTCGCGCTCGCCGTCGTCGTCCAGGATGGCGCCCACCAGGTGCCTGTCGCGCTGGTCCACCTCGAACGAAGCCCAGGCGCCGCAGGTGCCACACGCGCGCACGCAGGTCGCCCGGTGCGAGGTCGCCCACGCGGTTGGCGGGCCGAGCAAGCGCGTCGGGCCGAGCCCATACAGGTAGTTAGGTGAGATACGCGTGCACTCAACGGAGGGAGGGGAGGAGGAGAAGAGGAGGAGACAGGGACGGAGGGGAGATATTTTTACTCATGGCAGCGTGGCGACGCGCACCTCCACCCGGGCACGGACCCTGGCGGTCCACGCCCGGCGCGCGCGCGTGGGCCCTGACGGCCCACGCGCTCGCGCACTGGCACGCTCGCGGCCGCACGGCCCAGGCGTCAGGGAGCAAAGCGGGGTGGGTGGGCACCCGCGCGTCGGCCTGAGCCGAACGCTACGGACCCAAAATGGCTACCTGAGCCCACACCCCCTCCCACTTAACCTGCAGTCTACAAACCTATCAGACTAAACAAGTTCAGTGGGATACGCGTGCACTCAACGGAGGGGGGGGAGGAGGAGAAGAGGAGGAGACAGGGACGGAGGGGAGATATTTTTACTCATGGCAACGTGGCGACGCGCACCTCCACCCGGGCACGGACCCTGGCGGTCCACGCCCGGCGCGCGCGCGTGGGCCCTGACGGCCCACGCGCTCGCGCTCTGGCACGCCTGCGGCCGCACGGCCACGAGAAAGTAAAAGCGCAGCAGCGCGCGCAGGGCCGCCCCGCCAGAGGCACAGGGCGGGGCTCGAGGCCCGGTGAGCTTCGCGCGCGCGGCCACTAGCCTGCATCCTTGAGGCCTTCCGCGCCCCGCGCACCCAGAGCGCGGGCGCGGCGCGTGCGCGAAGAGCGCAAAGTAAGGAAGAAAAACGAAGCGGCGCGTGATGCGCCGGGCGCAGAGCGCAAGTGTGGCCCCGCCCGCTCAGCGCGCAGGAAGAAGGGGGCCGCATTGCGCGCGACGTGCGCGCCATGCTCCAGTCAACCTCTCACTCACGGGCCTGGGCCCGTTTGGCGGTCCGCCTCAGTGGGCCGCTGTCTTCCGCCCGCAGCCCGCAATGCCGCGGTCGCTGGCGTCGGGATGTGGGGTGCTGCCACGCCTAGATGGATGGCGTGTCCCCCTGGCGTGCCACGGCCCTCGTCGCCGCTGCGATCTCCGCCGCGCTCACTGCGGCTGCGGGGGCTGCCACCATCGCCGCCCCTCGAAGCGCGGCTGCCCGCACCCGTCCTGCCACGCTCGCTCGGGCCGCGGCTGCCCTGGTCGCCCTTGGAGTAGCCGCCCTTGCCGCCCTTGTCGCCCTTGCCGCGGCCCTTGGCGCCCTTGGCAGTCGCGCCGGCGCGGTTGCCCTTGACCTTGCCGCCCTTGCCGCCCTTGTCGCCCGAGCCCTTGCCGCGCCAGGCTGGGATCCCCCCCCCGCCGGCGGCGGCCTCTGCTGCGGCCGCCGCCGCGCGCCTCCTCTTCTTCTCCTGCTCGTACCAGCCGCCGCGGGGAGCACGAAGCTGCCCGGCGTGCTTCCCGGTCTTACGCCGCGAGCGGCCGGGGGGGGGGTCGCCGCGGCGCGCCCACGCTGGGTCCCGCGCCAGGCCGCCTCTCGCGCTTGGGCCAGCTGAGGTCGCCCGGCGGGCGGTCCCCCTCAGCGCCCGCGCTCGCAGCACCCGCGCTGGGGCGCTCTCCGTGGCCGGAGCTGGGGCCTGGCGCCTCCCGCTCGGCGTGGCCGCTCTGCCGGGCCTTCTCCACCACCGTCTTGGGCTTGCCGTAGCCGACGCGGCAGGCCTCGCAGTAGCTCGCGTCCCACCCCTTGCAGTGCCACCGCAGGGCTCCGCTGTTAGCTCCGCCCGCGGGGCACATCTCGCAGCCCCAACCGTCTCCCGGGTCTAAGGAGCTCCAGCGCATCTTGCGAGCGCACGTCGGGCAGGCAGGCGGCTGGATGGTCGGGCCATCCCCCCCGTCGCTGCCTGGGTCGGGGCCGCGAGGCCGGCTCGCCCACTCCGCGACCCCCGTGCATGGGCTCGTCTTGTAGAACCGCTAGTTCGACCGCATGCACTCCCGCGCGCGCTTTGCATCCGCGCGGCGCTGGAACTCCACGAGCACACACGGCTCCCGCTCGTGGCGGTGGTTGTACAGGAAGGCGATGTGCTTGACGACGCCGAAGGGCACCACCACCTGCCTGACCACCTCGGCGTCGACGTGGTGCGGCACCCGCTCGATGCGGATGATGGCCTCGCCCTCGTCGTGCTGGTCACTGGGTTGCTGCAGGGCGCTCTGGCGCTGCTCCTCCTTGCGCCTGCGGCGGCTCCTCGAGCGCGGCCGGCGCTGGGGTGGGCTGTCCCCCGCGCCTGGCGTCGCCGTCTCCTCCACCTCCGTCTTCACCCCGAGGGACCTCGGCGGGGCCCCTCCGCTCTTGGGCTTCAGGACGGCCTCCCGCTTCACGACGACGGCCCTCGGAGGTGCGCCCCCAGTCTTGGGCTTCAGGACGGCCTCCTCCGCGCGCTCCTCGCGCTCGCGGTCGCGGTGCTCCTCGCGCTCGCGGTTGCGGCGCCGCGTGCGCGAGGGGGCCCGGACGACCCGATCGCGCCTGCGGACCTCCTCGGCGAGGCGCCTCTGCTCCGGAGAGCGTGGGGGCCGAGGGCGCTCCGCCGGGGCGCCCTTGCTCCGGCGCCGCGCTGCAGCCTGGATGGCCGCTCGCGCCAGCGCCGCGGCCACGGCGTCCTCGCTCGGGTCGAGCGCGGGGGCAGGAGCAGGGCCCGCCTCGCCCTTGCTCGAGGCGTCCTCCACGTCGGCGAGCCCGCCGACCGCCTCCGCGTCCACCGTGCGCATCATGTCGAGCAGCCCCTTGTTGTTCTTGCAGAGCTCGCGGAGCCCTGGCATGGGCTGCCCCTGGAACTGGGCCAGGGCGAGCGCCAGCTTGGCCGCCTGGCGCTGGACCTTGACGTTCGGCCCCGCGACCACTCCCCAAGCGCCGCTTGCCGTCGACGAGCACCAGCTGGCCGTGGTCCTCGCTCGCCCCCGCGGCCAGGCAGGCCGCCGCGATGCACGGGGCTGCCTCGTGGTCGTGGCTGACCACCTCGACGAGGTCCTCGCTGTTCAGCTCGTCCACCACCGTGTACAGGATGTTGTGGGCGGCACTCCGGAGCTCGTCCGACAGCGCGGACCCCGAGACGACGACGCCGAGCGGATTCACCGCCATGATGCTGTAGTCGTGGTAGCGCGCCTTGCTGTGGTCCGGGGCCAGCAAGCCCACGAGGAACCCCATGATGCACGCTGCTGGCGCGCGGAACGGAGGCGCGGCTGGCGCGCGGGGCTGGGGTGCGCGCGCCGCTAGCGCGCCTCGCTCTGGAGTCGGAGACGGCTGCGGACGAGAGGACCAGGAGGAGATGGGTGTGCCTGGGGCGATCGGGGGCGGCGGCGAAGGGGGATTCGAGGACGAGAGGTCCACCGGGATACCCCCGCAACGTGACGCCCCCGCCCCGAACCGAACACCTGGTGGACCAGCTTGCTGCTTCCCAACACGCCCGCTAGCTCCCCGCCCCGGCTCGTGTCTCACCTGCTCCTCATCCTTTCCCTCCTCCAGTTTTGCCCCTGCTCGCGCCGATGGGCGCGCCCACGGGGGTCTCCCGGGCGCCCAGGCCGGGCGCTCCGAGGGCCTCAGGTCGCTCCCAAACGGGGGCTGGTCGCTCCCGACCAGCGGGTCGGGGCGGGTGCCGGCCAGATCGCCGTCACCACCGCGGGCGTCCGGTGCCAGTAAGGCGTGGCCTTCCGCCATGCCTCGGGCGAACGGTGCCTGGCGCCGGTGGTCCTCCCAGAGGTATCCGTGGAAGGCGTCCGTGGACCACCTCCCAAACCTCTTGACCGCCTCTAGGTCGCGACCGGCGTGGTATAACGCCGTCGCGCCCCCGATGCGAAGGGATTGGGATCCCATCTGGCCCGCGTCCACGCCACAGGCGGCGGCCGCGAGCTGGAGGAGCCCCTGCACCTCCTCCCGCATAATCGGGTGGCCGTCAGGCCTGCGGAACAAGGGGAGCCCCGCCTCGGTCCCTTGTCCGAACCGGTCCCGAAGCTCCCTCTGGAGTCTGGCCAGTGCGTCCACGACGCACAAATCCACCCCCGAACGGAAGTGGTTGCGCACGCAGCCCGCTTTAAACTGGTCCGTCTTGGACGACGTGATCGTCAGCACTACCTCGTCGCAGTCGCCGAGCCACGCGCTGGGAGTACCCCCACGCAGGCCCTGCACGTCCTGCCCACGCACCACCCGTCCCATGCTCCAGGAGCGGTCTTCCTGGACCAAGTACTCCGACGCGCGGAGCATGACGAAGTACCCAGTCATGAGCGCCGCCCATAGGATGGTCGCCTCTCGGCGCGTGGCCGTCCCGTGGGCGAACAAGTATTTGCGGAGCCATCGCAACATGCGGGGGGTGGCTGGCAGCTTCCGCTTCGCCTGTCCGTCCCAGCGGCGGAGTCCCTCGATCGCGGTCCAGAGCCGGCGCCGATCGGAGGTCACGTCTCCGAAGCCCGCCAGGGTGTGGGCATACCGAATGGCGAACAGGCGCTGGCGGATGGTCGTGGCACGCCTCTTCATCACCTTGTACAGGTACACGACATATCGGATGAGGCCATCCTCGTCCGTTAGGCGGGCGTCCCGCGTCTCCCCCTGGAAGTACGGGCTCTGGCCTCGGAGCCTCCGCCAGAGCACCCAGTTACGCCACCCGGCGCTGTAGTTGGCGCGTGTCCCTCCGGCGAGCTCAGCCAGCATCGCCTCGGTGGCAGTCGCGTCCAGCTCGCGGGGGTCGGTAAGCTCACCCCGGACCCCTGTCGGGGCGTCTCCGCCGGCGTAACGCCAGGCCGCGGGCTTCACCAACGCCGGGGCGAGGGCGCTGCGGGCGCGCCGGCGCGTCTTGCGCGGCGGGCGCGCCCCGCCTCCCGCGCCACCCTTGGCGCTCGGTTTGGGCGTCCCCCCGTCCTCCGGGACGGCGAAGGTCACTGTCCCGACCCGCTCCCCGTCTGCCAAGTCCTCCCCT